CGGTTGAGAAGCTCTGCATCGATGTCGGCAGTCAATGAATAATAAGTGAAATAACTGTAGCTAAGTATTTTTCCAAATAGCCTGTCATATAAACACATACATGTAACAGAAATGGTTGATATGCAGATCGTTGGAGATAAATCATGTGATCATCTGTAAATTAATTCATTGATCCTTTTAGACATGGCAGTTGGATGCTTGTAAACTAAATCATATTCACTATAGCTATAAAACCTGGACTTTTAATTTTTTTAAATTTTTAAACTGCATATCAAACAAAAATGTCCAAAGATAAAACTGTAAAATTTTTCTAAACATTTGACCCTTAATCTACAAAATGTATATTTTTTAAATATCATCTGTCTGTTCAGCTGCTCTGATGATATGAAACAAATATAAAACTTCATTTGGTCCCTTCAGTGGCCGACGGTAAACACAAACAGAAATAAATACCACAAGACTACCAACTACCCTGATGTTGTTTTTAATCACTAATTTCAAATAGTCGTCAAGAAAATATAGATCTTCTCTTTTTCTGTGTGATTTTATCCTTCAAAAAGTTGTGAGATTTGTAATTTTGCTCCCTAAGACCTACTGTTTCTTTAACACGTAGCACCTTTCGTAGCATTTCTTTTTTTTTTATTTTTCCATCAGACTGAAATGTTAATTAAAGGGATTCTTTTTTCTTCACACGCTCGACAGCAGTTTAAGCTAACAGGGTGATGACACAGGGCTGGTGCATTGCTAACAGAACCCAAAGAAAGAGGTGATTTTAAATCCAATGTTACGGTGAAACTAAATGTACTGTTACTGTTTACTGAGTCCCAAGCATTGTTAAAATCCACGTTATGATTTTGTTCACACAAAATAAATATTCTCGAGCACATGAATTATAATATTGCACAAATAAGATATTTAAATGCTCACACAAGACAATTATCTTTCATCAGTTTCCTGTTAGAACCAGATCTTTGTGCACATTAGAAAATAATTTGTGCACTCAAATATAACTTGCAAACTAATTACAATCTTGCAGGTAAAACGTATTATCAACTTATCTTTTGTGCATAAATTATATTCTTGCACTAACAACACGGCGTCTTGTGCAAACAAGTTTATTTGCAATCCCTGAACTGAGACACAGGTACAGTTTGTACCCGCCCACACAGTCCTGAGAGAAAAGGTCTAATCAGCCAAAACAAGTGAAAACACCTGTGTGGGTGGACGTGGGGGGGTTCAGGTCGGTATAGGAGGAGATAAAGTATAAGTTTAAAACAGACCTGAAAGTCTGCAGACTCCTGAACTTATGAGTTCAGTAAGTGATGGAATAAAAAACACCTGCAGACTCTTATGTAACAGGAACGACTGACTCAGACGAGGCGCTGCTGCTCAGGGTGTTTAACTGCTCTGTGAAAGTTTAATTCATGGAGGCTCTGTGAAAATATGAACACTTTAAAGTCAGTTCATGTCTTTGTGATCACAGAAACACCAGAAATTGTGGGTGGAAACCTTAGAGGGAAATTTTTAAGCCAGTAAAAGTCACGTTTTGTCCAGATTCTCTTGGCGAGGTCGGACTGAGTCAACACTCACGCCTCAGGGTCATCGATCAGTCCTCACATCGTCTTTTTAACACCCTGTCCTGCACAAAAACAACAACAGGAAAGACATCGCCGCCCTCACACAGCCATGTGCTCCCTCCTCAAAACAAAGCAGCAGCAGCAGCGCCATTTTGCTGGCATGCAGAGTGACTAATGCCTGTGGTAATGTTCAGATGAATGCAGCTCTGCAGAGGAAGCACTCACTGCCTGCACTGTGGTCACGTCCATCACAACTCTGCACAGCAGCAACCACGACCGAGCAACCCCGACATGAAAAACTGTTATTTTCTACCTAGTTTCTTAACTGACTCTAACACTGAGGATGTGTTGGACGATTTAAGCCTTCATCAAACATCGGAAACACCGAGAAGCAGCCTGATGAAGGTACAGCAGGCTGGATGGTTCAGAACTGAAAAGCGAGAAAGACACGAGCACAGAAAGTGTCAGAAGCAAAGCTGTGAACATGTAAGGCTCATTTTTCTCAGTTTCACGTCCACGTGTCCAGATTTATTTTTAAAAGGAGCAGATCTAATTCTCAGCAGAGGAGATTTTGGTCCCAGTCGTCAGAAAGTGGCAGTGTTTTGGACGCTGTTTTCAGCTCGGCTCTCAGACGCCTCTGGCAGTGGCAGCTGATAGAAAGTGGAGAGAAAAAGCATGAGAGCTGCTGATTGTGCTGCAGATCTGAGTCCTTTGAAATGTTGTCGTGCTGCGGTCGGGGACCGACGATACCGCTGAGGACACGGAGGTCACGTCCTCGGTAATTCAAGAAACGTGGAGGCTTTTGCAACCTGCCATATTTTTTTAAACAGTAAAATTAAAATATAAATCTGGTGAAATTCAATACTTTTCCTTTTGTCATCAAATCTCACGCAGAGCCAAACAACCAACAGCAAATCTCTGCGGCCGCCCAGTCCTGTGTGTATCAGACCCTAATACATCTGATTCCTCTGAGCCATGAACACACTGTAGTTTATTTTGACTCAGTCCAAAAATACACTACAGCACTAAATGTGGATTAATCTGCTGCTGAAAATAGTCCCCAACAAATGCATAATTTCCTTCAGAAGGATCCAATGAGCGTGGACCTGAGATCCACAGACAGAGAAAGGACTGAACTGGCACAGTGTTGGTTTGGGTCTGTGTTGACAATAAGAAAAATGTTGAATATTTCCAGACAGATGCGACCTTTTGTCACCTTTCTCAGAAACGTGTGTAAGACCACTCGTCATGATTTCATGTATTTTTATGGAACAATTTCATCTGTATTTTTGTATAAAACTGAAAACAATGAGCCCTGCAGATATTCATGACAGTCAAATCTAGACATGTATCTCTCTTGATCTGTTTCTCAAGGTAAATCTCTGGTATTTTCAACCTCTAATCTTTTTATGTCCGTGCTAACTGCTAACTTTGCGCTCACCACTCCTGCTGCAGAAAGTCAGGAAATCCAACCTCATCAAATCCAACAACACATCAAGCCTAACAGCAACAGACCTCCTAAAGCTTTCCAAATAAACTTTCATGAATCATTTCAAATGCTTGTCTCCGAATTAAGTAAATTAGCTACTGTAGTTAATCTGAACCATGTTTATACAAACCAGAGTAAACAGATTAAAGTTTAAACCAGATGGACGAGGAAAGGGAAAAAAAACGGGGCAAAATTGAGACAATTCTTACCTCCCCAAAATCAGCTAAAAGTCAGCCCCCAGTACTCCTACACAGCACCTTGTTGGCTAACCAAACAGCTAGCTTAATTAGCCAATGAACAGACCTATGATAAACCCCTATGCAATTAGCTAAAGTAGAATAGGCAGTTAGCTTGTTGGCCAACCAAACAGCTAGCTTCATTATGCAAATAACAGACCCATAATGAATCCAGATGCAGCTAGCTAAAATTAGCTTAATTAAGCAACTGATTTCTGTTTACTTTCATTGGGATTCACTCGAATAGGCAGTTAGTGAATTGGCTAACCAAACAGCTAGACCAACTGGTCAATTAGTCAATAGTTAGTTAGCTACAGTAGCTTATCCAGCAATTAATTTGTGTTTACGTTCTGCTGAATTGATTTATGTAAATGTGAAGTTGAAATCTCTCTGAGGCTCTCTGTGTTTGCAGTGATGGACGTTGTTTTGTTAAAGCTGCTAAAGTTGCTTTTAATGACACCCAGTCTGAAAAATACAGAAATTGAAGGATCAAATTCATCTACCTGCACATGTAGCGCAAACATCCATACTGAACTTATACGTCATGCTAAATGTGCACAGCCATGTGTCATCATCCAGGAAAACTGAGTTTATTTAGGCTCAGTGTATCTGGCCCTAGAATAAAGAATATACTCACATCTGTATCTACACGTATTAGTAACCCTTTTCTTTTCCAGATGTGCAGGGAGTAGTGCATCTTTATGGCAGGAGAAGTTAAGCTGCACATAGTAAGCTCTTTGTCGTCTGTTGTAACGGGAGGCACTTTAGTCAATTCTATAATGAGACGGGGTTCAAGGCACTAGAAACTAATTTTAGATATCTATGAAATTTGTTAAATATTTACTGCTTTCCTTCTTGAAACTGTTTTTAAAAGTCAAATGCAAAAACCAAAAAAAGAAATGGGGTCACAAATCACATAAAATGATGCCATGCACTCCGTCGTCAAAGATCAAAGCTTTAGATAAATGAAAGAGGATGTAATTTCTGAATGTCATTTTTTTGAAAAGAGATCATCGATATGTCTCTTCTGTTTTTTTTTGTCTTGTTTTTTCTTGTTTTTTTTTTTTCTAGCAGATTTGTCCCTTCTGGCAGTTAGTTCCGTCATGCACCGAATCCTGTTGTTAGCTTGACAATAATGAGGAAGATCATCATCATCATCATCCTCCAGCTCCCGAGGTCCCTCCACAACTGCAAGCAATTTAATACTGACATCATGCATTGAGTATACGTAGCTATACCATAGCTAATTAGGCCATAATGCTTTAGTATTTTTGACATGCCATGATCTTCGAAAAAGAAGTGTTCCTGTTCCCTTAATGCTTTAACATTCAACACTTAAATGCTTTGAAATAACTTAAACAATAATAATAAATAGCCAGTGCACTTTTGGTGAAAACAAATGAGAGAAAAAATCCAGGAGGAGAAGATGAAGGTCAAAGAAGAAGAAGAAGAAAAATGTAAAAATAAAAATGAGGTAACGTCTTGTGCATGCCGATATAAGAGAGAAGAGAGTCTCCACATGCTTCTATATAAAGGAGTGTTGCATGGCATCATACAGGGAACCTCCAGCCGACCTGTAGCAGCAGCAGCAGCAGTGCAGTAATCCTCCACAAGGCCTGGCACACCTCTTGTCTGTTTCTGATAAGGTGCCTGAAAAATGTCGATTTAACGTCTGGCGTTAAGTTTTTTTTTCCCCAAAAAACTTTCCCTGGATGTGCTGCAGAAAAAAAAAAAAACACGCCTGAACATCAACTGTAATCCACTTAAATGTGTTTCCTCAGGGAGCGAGTTGTCCTTGAACATGTTCTTCAAATCTCAGTTGGGCTTTGCTGTTTTATTCTTTTGTCTTTTTTTATCCTGAAAGTTGATTGTGTAGAACAAAGCCTGGTCGGTGTCAGGGAGACGTTTTGATAAATTCAGTTTGTTTTTTTTCTTCCTACTTAGTCATTCAAACCCTCGCGTTTCTGAAAACAACAGTTCTTTCCCTCTGTTTTTAAACCCTGTTTGTGTCTTTTTTTATATTGCTTTGTTTCTGTTTTATCTGGTTTTTAATGCCTTTTTTTGTCAGATGTAAAGCACCTCGAGTTGCCCTGTTGTTGAGAGGTTCTGTACAGATAAACCTTCAACTTTACTAAAACTCCCTTTGAAGTTATTTATTTCACTCCCTTTTTTCTGTTTTGCGCAGCAGGAAAATAAAGTTGAGACTTTCTGAAAGTGCTCATCTGGGTTTTTATAGCAAAACAAGCTGTAACCCCAACGACATGTGAGAGAAAGTATATCCATGAATCTCAGTCTACAATCAAAGCCAAGCTGTTTTAATGCTAACAGAATGAAGGTAGTGACACTGTTAAAGGGGCACTTCCAAAAAGTTTAGACTAATTACAGACAGATTTTTTTTTTTAATGGTCAAAACTGATGCAACATTGACCAATAACATCCTGACGTTCTTGTCCTCTGCTGCGGGGAAAGCAACCAAAACACTGCATTTCCCATAATGCAGCTTGGCAGTGTCTCTTTCCAGCCTAGCCATGTGTTTAAAAACTCCATCGTCTGAGTTTCACATGTTGTGTCTCAGCCCAAGTTCAGATAACCCCAATGACATCATTCTGACATCATCAAGACTGGACGAAAGTGTTTTCACAGGCTTAGTTCACACCGAGACCTTGGTGGAGTTCCCCTTTATTTTCATGGACTAAATAAAGGAATTCAAAGGTACAAGTTCCTAAATAAATTGATTAATTTATCAGAAATGTTTCCCCAACACCGACCTTCTATTTTTTAATGGATTAACAGCTTCTACTCCTACAGATTTACCATGTGTGCTTTTTAAACTATTTACGTCTTCACACACGTTTGAATGAATCAATGCAAAAAAAGAGAATAAAATGCACCAATGGAGATAAAGCATCCAGATATTTCTACAATATTTACACTGGTGCGTTTGGACGCCGCCTCACACGTCGGTGAGCAGCTTCCCCTTGTTCACACAGTTCTGGCTGGGCGCCGTGCAGTTGGCAGTCCTAAGGTTCGCTTCCCTAAAGTTGTCGATGCTGTTGTTCATGTCCTCGTCTATCTCCATGTACTCCGACTTGCTGACCACGGAGGAGCTCCGGCGGCTCGAGTTGGTGTCCGACGCCAAGTTCTGATTGCTGACGTTGAGCAGCTGGGCCTGCTCCTCTCCCTCCGTCTCCCGGTGGTAAAAGTAGTTGAAGTTGGACACGATGACCGGCACCGGCAGCGCGATGGTCAACACGCCGGCGATGGCGCACAGCGAGCCCACGATCTTTCCTCCGATGGTCACGGGGTACATGTCCCCGTAGCCGACGGTCGTCATAGACACCACGGCCCACCAGAAAGCATCCGGGATGCTGGTGAAGAACGACTCCTTCTCCTCGGCCTCGGCGAAGTAGACGGCGCTGGAGAACAAAATCACGCCGATGAAGAGGAAGAAAATGAGCAAGCCCAGCTCCCGCATGCTCGCCTTTAGAGTTTGCCCCAGAATCTGGAGCCCCTTTGAGTGTCGGGACAGTTTAAAGATCCTGAAAACCCTCACCAGACGGATTACCCTGAGAATAGCCAGAGATGTAGCCTGCTCCCCGCCGCCAGCCTTCCCCTCCCCGTTCTCTTGGTCGTCGGCCAGCTCTGTGCCAAGTGTGATGAAGTACGGGATTATAGCCACAATATCGATGGAGTTCATCATGTTTTTAAAGAACGCCGCCTTGCTAGGGCAGGCGAAAAACCGAACTATCAACTCAAAGGAAAACCAGATGATGCAGAGAGTCTCCACCACGAAGAAAGGGTCTGTGAGGACGTTTGGTTTGTAATAGATGGTGGTGTTCCCCACCACCCGGATCCGGTCATTGGGATCCTCCTTCAGCTCTGGTAGTGTCTCCAAACAAAATATGACTATTGAAATAAGAATAACCATCACGGAGACGATGGCGATCCCCCGGGCCGGTCCAGAACTCTCCGGATGCTCGAAGAGGAGCCAGATCTGCCGTTGGAACTCCTTCTCCGGCAGGGGTCGCTCCTCCTCTCGGATAAACCCCTCGTCCTCCCGAAATTTCTCCATTGCTTCTGCCCCAAGTTCATAAAATTTAATCTCCTCTGAGAACATATCCAGCGGCACGTTGACCGGTCTTCTCAGCCTCCCCCCAGATTGGTAATAATACAAGATGGCGTCAAAGCTCGGGCGATTCCGGTCAAAGAAATACTCGTTTCGTAGGGGGTCGAAGTAGCGCATCCTCTTCTTGGGGTTCCCAAGGAGAGTCTCCGGGAACTGGGCGAGGGTCTTGAGCTGGGTCTCGAAGCGCAGACCCGAGATGTTGATGACCACCCGCTCGCAGCAGTCGTGGTCATCATGGTCATCATCGGGCGGGTAGGGGTCCTGCGGGTGACCTGGCAGGGTGGAGGTCTCGTCCATGTTGTCTGTTGACACCACGGTCATCCTTCCTGGTGGGTTGAGGACGGGAAGAGGAGGCGGTGTGAAGAGGAGGAGGGGTTGGGGGTGCGGGTCAGAGTGCAGAAGGTCCTAGTGAGACCGGGAGCTGTGCAGAGCCTCCCTCTCCATCATCATCTTCATCATCACCATCATCATCTCCGAGCTGAACATCTTCTTTATCTCAGCGATGCTTCATCCGTCACCTGGAACAGAGGGAATCAACCAGATCCAGTCTTTAAAAAGACAAACAGATTCCTTTCATGTTCTCATCTGTAGAGCTTCCTGTTTGTCAGGAAGAGCAGCAGGAAAAAAAACATCTTGCAGTACAGTACAGTAGCCTGTGCTGCATTTGCTGTATTTTTACCGCATACATCAGTATTCAAGTTTGCAGTCCCGCTGCGCTCCCTCTCTGCGCACATCAGGACCCGCAGTTTTCACTCACACATCAACTACTGTCCGTCACATGAAGGTTTCACACATGCACACCACCAAATACATGGAATATAAATGTAAATGATTCTGTAGGCTACGTGATGAAAAGGTGAAATAAACATGTACCTGTGCGGAGTTGGAGAGCAGCAGAAGGAATGTCCTCACCGTGCGCACTTTTCCCGGCCACCCACCACAACTTGGGTTTAATACTGATATCGCTTTACAGTATCTCTGAAATATTAATAGACTATGTTGTCTTGGTCAACATCCGTATCCTCTTGGTGTAGGTTTTCAGCGTCGATCGGAGCAGCCCGCAGCAGGAGGAGGAGGAGGAGGAGGAGGAGGAGGCGGCGGCTTCAGACGGCTGTGAACCGCGGCTCAGCAGCAAAAATCCGGACTGACAATTTATTAAAATCATGCTGGAAAATAAAGGAGGCGAAGGACAGAGAGGAAAAGGAGAAAATACAGCGGGATCAAGCTCCCAGTGTGACGGAGGGAACTGGGAGGACTGGACACTGCAGCATCAGCAGAAACAGCTCTGCTGCTTTTCTTCTGCGGTATTAGATTTAAAAAAAAAAACGCGGAGGCTTTAAATGAAAACCGGTTTAGGATCCCGCGCTATAGGCGCAGCGGAGAGAGGAGGATGTGTCTCCGGTGATTTGGAAGCATATTGCAGGATTTCGTGTAGAGAGAGGGAAAAAAAAGAAAGTGAGTGAAGGAGGGAGGGAGGGGTTAGGAGAGAGAGAGTGAGTGAGGGGAGTGAGAAAGAAGAGGAGAGGAGGGGGGATTCGACGCAATGCAGACAGACTGTAAAACACAGTCGGTACTACAGTAGCCTGTGCGCGCGTGTGTGTGTGTGTGTGTGTGTGTGTGTGTGTGTGTGTGTGTGTGTGTGTGTGTGTGTGTGTGTGTGTGTGTGTGTGTGCCAGTACCACACAGCAGCAGCAGCAGGTCCAGCCGCTCAGTCATAATTATATCATTTATATAATAATTAAAAAGAAATAAAAGTGGAGGATGCTGCAATAAAATAAAAACATATCACGGTGGTATAGCTGATGTATCCACTGCATTGTGTTATGTAACCGGTGTGTTCAATATATTTCACACACACACACACACACACACACACACACACACACACACGCGAACACTCCTGCAGGGTTTTAGACCCCGATCTGAGGTCTGACTTGAGAAATCTGCGGCGGGAAGCGGCTCAAACTGTCCCCCACACCACCACCCCCAACCCCCCACCCCCACTATAATTGGCCGCTGAGCACTTTGCGACAGTCAGACCTGCACGCTGGTGTAAATATCCCGGTGTTGCTATGGTAACAGGAAGGAAACCAGCAGACCGATTTCTTTCTTTCTTTATTCTGTCCGGTGTGAAACTTCATGGCAGAGATTCTAACTGAAGATCAATAAGTTACATATTAAGAACTGATATAGGTTGGTTTGTATGGAAGCTCATTTGTGCCAAACAAAAAAGAAAGAAAGAAAAAATGAAGTGACAAAAATTAAAATGAATAACTTCACATAAAACAAAAAGTCAAATTTTTAAATATACACTCATAACACGTGTGCTTGTTTAGATGAATACATATCTGAATGTAGATTTAAATCACTGACATTTTGTATCTCTGCTATTGATATTTCTCTTTCTTTATTTTATTTTCTGCACTCAGGTCTCACTTGTAAATGAGATCTTGATTTCAATATGACAAATAATGTTGACTGGATTATGTTTTTTATTGTATTATTTTTGTTTTTTACTACATACTATACTTTGACATTTTTATAACATACTACAATAGGACCTTTTTCTGACATTTTCATAACATGCTATACTATGACTTTTTTTTATAAAATACTATACTATCACTTTTTTGACATTTTTATAACATACTATACTATGACATTTTTTATGACATTTTTTATGACATACTATACTATGACATTTTTATTACATGCTACAATGTGACTTTTTTGACATTTTTATAACATAATATACTGTGACATTTTTAATGAAATTTTAATTACATTTTTTATAACATTCCATACATACTATGACATTTTTTTTATAAAATACTATACTTTGACATTTTTGTGACATTTGTTTTAAATACTATATTTTTTATAACATACCATACATACTATGACATTTTTTTTAACATTTTTATAACATACTATACTATGACTTTTTTTTGACATTTTAATGATGTACTATACTATGACTTTTTTTTTAATAAAATACTATACTATGACATTTTCTTGACATTTTTAAAACATACTATTCTATGACATTTTTTTGACGTTTTTATAAAATACTATAATATGACTTTTTTTTTTAAATCTATACTATGACATTTTTATAACATACTATACTATTACTTTTTTGTCATTTTTATAACATACTATACTATGACATTTGTTATGAGATTTTTTATGACATTTTCTATAACATACCATACATATTATGACATTTTTTTATGACATACAATACAATGACATTTTTATTAAATGCTACAATATGGCTTTTTTTGACATTTTTATAACATAATATACCTTGACATTTTTTATGACATTTTTTATAACACGCCACACAATGACATTTTTTTAATAAAAATCCTACACTATGACATCTTTATAACATACTATACTATGACTTTTTTTTTACATTTTTATAACATACTATACTAGGACATTTTTTATAGCATACTACACTAAGACATTTTTTATGACATACTATACTATGACATATTTATAAAATACTATACTAGGACGTTTTTTATGACATACTATACTATAACATTTTTGATGAAATACTATACAATGACATTTTTTTAACATACTATACTATGACATTTTTTTTGACATTTTTATAACATACTATAGTATGACTTTTTTTTACATTTTTATAACATACTATGCTACGACATTTATTATGACATATTATACTATGACATTTTCATGACATGTGTGACAGTCCTTGCTTAAGTGTAGTTGTCGTGTCCAGTTACTGTGCCTTGTATCCTCAAAGGTGAACAGAAGGAGGTGATCACAGCAGCCAGACTTGGATCAACTGGGTTGAGCTCTGCCAGGGCAAAAAGGCACAGACTCACATCGCTCCTCCCTCTCTTACCTGGACTCATGCCTGCCAGCATCAACACGTTGTCTTCTGTTTGTCTTTTGTTTTCGTTTTGCTTCACAACATCCTACAATTTATTATATTCACACATGCACATTCACATCACTGATATTACTGACTGACACACTGCATATTTGTATTTGCCTCTTCAGTTTATGTGTTTTATAATAAATATTCTTATCAACCTGTCGTGTCCATTCCCTAATTTGTTGTGTCGGTTTTGCAGTTTTTGTGACATAATACAACAGGATGTTTTTTGACATTTTTATGCCTTATTATATTATGACATTTTATATCTTACTATACTATGATGTTTTTATGTCTTACTATACTATGGCATTTTTTATGACATTTCTCACAATATTTTTTATGACATGCCATACTATGACAATTTTTATAAAAAAAATTTATTGCATTCTATACTATGACATTTTTATATAATACCATACTATGACTTTTTTATGACATACTATATTATAATATCTTAATGACATACTACACTATGACATTTTTATGACGTGTGACAGTCCTTGCCTAAGTGTAGTTGTAGTCAAGTTGTAATTGTGGTTGGTATCCTCAAAGGTGACCAGAAGGAGGTGATCACAGCAGCATGACTTGGATCTGGGCTGAGCACTGCCAGGGCATAAAGGCACAGACTCACATCGCTCCTCCCTCTCTTACCTGGACTCATGCCTGACAGCGTCAGCATGTTTTCTTCTGTTTTGCTTTTGTCTTCGTTTTGCTTCACAACATCCTACAATTTATTATATTCACACATCAACATTCACATCACTGATATTACTGACTTACACACTCCATATTTGTATTTGCCTCTTCAGTTTATGCATTTGTTTATAATAAATATTCTGATCAACCTGTTGTGTCCATTCCCTAATTTGTTGTGTCGTTAATGACATTTCTATGAAATAATATGACATGAGATTTTTTCACATTTTTATGCCTTACTATATTATGATGTTTTATACCTTCCTACACTTTGACGTTTTTATACTATACTATAATGTTCTTTTATGCCTTGCTAATTTTTGTGGCATACTATGACTATGACTTTTTTGACATTTTTATACATACTATACTATGTCATTTTTTATGACATTTTTTATAACATACTATTCTATGACATTTTTATGACATTTTTTATAACATACTATTCTATGACATTTTTATGACATTTTTTATAACATACTATACTATGACATTTTTTTTACATTTTTGTGACATGCTATGAAGTGACATTTTTTTATATAAAATACTATACTAACATTTTTTTGACATTTTTATAACATACTATACTATGACATTTTTTTTACATTTTTGTGACATGCTATGAAGTGACATTTTTTTATATAAAATACTATACTAACATTTTTTTGACATTTTTATAACATACTATACTATGACATTTTTTTTACATTTTTGTGACATGCTATGAAGTGACATTTTTTTATATAAAATACTATACTAACATTTTTTTGACATTTTTATAACATACTATACTATGACATTTTTTTTACATTTTTGTGACATGCTATG